GGGTTACCTCTGAGTTCTCCCTGACTTCTACCCCAGCACAGCATATGTCTCCACTGGGGCAGGGTCTCTGTGAACACTGATTGGGTGCTTAGGCAAGTTCTGTGCCCGAATCAACAGCATACCAGTACCCAGATGAATCCCAAACTTGCTAGAAAGTACATATTCCACGAGACTCTTGTTTTCTTTGTACACACGCAGAGTGATATAATAGATAATAACAAGCAACAATTTTATTGGGAAACAATACCTTCCATATTAAACTGAGTTTGTGATAAAAGCTTCATGCCTACATCGGTACTCCTCCATGAACACACACATAAAATGTTGCTTTACAGATAACCTTTGCATTTGATTTTAGGTCTCCAAACAAAATACATAAAGACTGCTTTGTGTAACTCTTTCAAAGCGCCTAAAAAGGGAGCTGTCTTTGCATAAACATTCTATAAAGGCATGGCACAGCAATGCAGGAAAGAACAGTGGGGGATTTATTGTGATTCAGATCTGTGATTGTTATTTTCGTATGTGTTTTTGCTTAACAGCATCAGCTCCCTCCTTTGAGCTCAACCAAAGGCAAAAAACAATAATCATCACCAAGGGCAAGGAAGTCATTATGGAGTGTAAACCACAGGCATCTCCCAAGCCAGTCATCTCCTGGATGAAGGGTGACAGAGCTGTGAGGCAGAACAAGAGGTTAGAAACTGTCAACTTTACTTCTATAATTAATCAGTTATGAGATGTTATTGTTTTCCTGGGCACCTGTCAGATTGCTGCACTTCAGCTTACTTTGTGTACATATGTAGGTAATCTATACAACTCTGTCGCATGTTGAACTTTTCATTTGCCAAAACTAGTACAAATTATCTGTGTTTGCCTAAACCTTACTGTTGAAGTCAACAGGTTTACGTCAATCCTCTCTCCCCAGAAGCAAAGCCATGTTTTTCTTTCTTGCCATGGTTCTTTTAGCTACTGAGAAAAGCAGAAACCACCCTTGTGTAAGCTACCAATGTTCTTTTCTCTCCAGAAGGGATAATCTTTGATCAGGCATGACCCAGGTTCAACATCAATGTCGTAGACTTTGGCCATAAAATAACCTAGTCCTGGTACCTGCAGAAAGTATTTTGTTTTTTTGGTTCTTTGTATGTATGTTCTCCAAAACAGCTTAATCCCTCAAACTTACTCTTTGGCTGGCCAGTGTAGAAAATACATCACTTACACACAACCAGGTCCCACTGCTGCTTCTCACAGTTTGACCAACCAAGCCTGTGAGCAGGGTGCAGTGTGGTGTGGCAGCAGAAGCGGATTTCAGAGGACAGATAAATTGAAATGTTCCAACCAATTACAACAGGCTTGACAGGCAAGCACAGCCATCCGAAAACACATGTAAAACTGACAGCAGAGGTTCAGAGCGATACTGACAGCATCTGCAAGGAGGAGTGGAAGCCTGGCCTGGTTAGTCCAACCCCAATAAGGAGACTGCTCCAGAAAAAAAGATATATTCCTTGCACTTTCCTACTGCTCCATAACCTTTTCCTACCGCTAAGTTTTTTTCCCCAACAGGCGGGGAACCTGCCCCTACTGTTGTAGTATATTGTAACAATATGAATGTATTAATGAAGACCAGAGGCGTCCCTAGGGTTGGTGTCACCCTGTGCGATCCCCACAGGATCGTCGGCATGCAACCTGTATGGGGTGACACCGGACCCGCTCCAAGAAAAGTTAAGTTGTAAAGAAAGCCGACGATCCCCGCAGGATGGATCGGATCCACCCTGCGAAGATTGTCGGCTTGCTTTATAACTTACCTTTTTGTGGAGCGGGTCCGGTGTCATCCCGTGCGGTCGGTGTCACCCAGTGCGGACCGCACCCCCTCACCTGCCTCGGGACACCACTGATGAAGAATTGTACAGTTACTGAAGAATTCACTTCAAAGTGAACATGTGTTCACTTTGAAGCTACTAAGCTGCCAGCAGACATGAAAAGCAGACACCTTAGGTATGTTCACATGCCATGGAAAGTACCCTGGAAGCAAATTTTTGTTCTTTATTTCAGTTTCATATTTTTATATTTGTAGCACCCTCCTAGAGTAGTGTTGGTACATTTATCTACCATCTCTGTAATCAGTGAAACAAGTTTATTGCTTAGGGCTGCTCAGTGTCTCACAGGCTGCTGCTCTGATTACTTCACCATGTATACTAGAGTATTCTAGAATTATAGTGGTAGGCACCCTAAGTATTTATGGGGCTCCAGCCAATCCCTGGGGAGGTGTGCTCAGCTGGTGGTTGGGGAGCCCATAAATAATCTGAGGCCTGAGACAGCAGCAGCAGAGTTCCTAGGTCCAGTCCTTCATGAAGAGACCCCTGTGTAGGAATCTCTGTCCCTGGGGCAGGAGTATAAGAGGTGCCACTGAGAAGACAGGGACATATTTGCAAGCTAAGTCCTGGAATTTAGTTAGGTCTGGAGAAGCTCACTGGAGCCTGAAAAAAGTTTGGAGAAGAAAGTCCAGCTGTCCTTTGGTGTGAGCTTGCATCTCCCTTGCTGAGAAGAGCCTTGTGGATATTGGTAGCAGTCAACTGATGATCCTTTGGCTGTGTGAGTAGCTGACTCCAGTGCTGAAGCACTAGTGACGGTGTGTAGCTTTTTGTTCTCTGGGAGAAGACATTGACACCATCAGCATAGATATTCTTTAGGACATTCTTTTTGTACAGTTCAGCTAGATTGCTTTGGAGTTCTAAAAGAGTCTGGTTTATCAGTGTTGGGGTTTCCCATGTTCCCTCATCCCTATCCAAGTTCACCATTCCAATAAAACAAAAAAAAAGACACCTATAGACTTTTCCTTTCAGCTAGTGAAAGAATGAAGAAAATGCTGTGTGTCTGGCTGTACCTGCTTTAACTGGGGGAATAGGACTAAGTTCATCAGCGGCTCTGTAGGGGGTGCACTGCATGTATAATTGTATTGTTCAAACTCCTTTTCTCTGTTCCCAGTTCTTTATTTTGCAGTGTACTTCAGGACCCCGCACACTGTTCCAGATTTTTCTTGTCAATGGTGATATTTTAATGCACAATGGCCTTGGAAACAGAAAATAGTTTAACTGGAATCACCCTAGACTGTTTGTAGCTACTTCTCATGCATAGTGTACGTGCAATGCAGATCACATAAATTTTAGGAAAAAAGCAGTGCATAATAGTTTATATTAAGGACAAAATATGGAAAGATAGCATATAATGAATATTTACATCAACTTCTTGAGAAAAAGTGAAGGATCCAACAATGAAATAGCAGATGTCATAAGATACCTGTACATAACTCTGTGTTCTCTGCGTGGAGCCCTCATTAGTCCTTAAAGAGGAGCTTCAGGCTCCCCCAAAAAATTAAAAGTCATCAGTTACATATACTGTAGCTGCTGACTTTTAATATAAGGACACTTACCTGTCCAGGAGTCCAGCACCATCCTCACCCACGCTAGTTCTTCACTAGCTTTCAGGTTCCTGGTGCTGGCAAGGCAAGTAAGGAATACCATAATCCTTGTGAATAGTCCTGTTGTCTTCTGGAACGTGTGAAGTGTCCCAGAAGTCCATGGGGGAAGAAGGGGGGGGCCTTACTTCTGGTTCAGTTCGCCATGGCAAACTGAGCAGGAGGTGGGAGTGGGTACCTGTCAGAACCAGATACCTGCTTCCCCTAAAAAATAGTGCCAAATGTGTCAGTGGCAGGGGGGGGAGGGTACAAATAAGTGGAGCTTCCCTTTTGGGATGGAGCTTTGCTTTAAGGGATCCTAACCCCCTCATATGCTATGTGGAAACACAAACTTTAATGATGATGCCTACAATAAACTTGACAGGTGCCTTTTTCCATGTTTTTGGTATAGGTCTTTATACCGTAATTATGTATTTTGGCTCCAATTGTGTATATGCATATAATGTTTTCAATATTGTGGAACTAGTAGTCATATCAGATGGTTTCGCCAATGTTGGCTTTGCATGCACTTTAAGCAATTCACTCTTCAGAGTGATTTAAAACCATCAGAACATTAATAATTAAATGTTTGAAGTTTGAACTATAGTCATAAGCATTTCTACATCTCAATAGATATGTATGGAAGAGCCATATCTAACAAACAATCCTCAGTGTGGGTTTTAAGACTGTACATCACTAAGAAAACTTTCCTGTTGATTTTAATTCTTTCTTGAAGAACCTCTTGTTTTGAATAGTTGTACAGTACAGAGGAATCACGTTAGAGTCTTGTATCTACCCAGCATTGCCCTGTGGCTATATTAATTATCAATAAAAGTGATGTCTACAGCCACTAAGGATTATCTGTGATGGATTATCCATAGTGTACAATACAAAGGGAACCTGGCTGTGAGACTTTTTCATCTATGTAATAGCTTCAGTACAGATGCTAATTGTTATATGGAAGACATACTATTGATGTCAAGGGAACACTGGAAAAAAAATTGAGGATGTTTAAGCTCATGAGTGCTATACTGTGTATAACCAGTGGGATGACCTCTGCCTCTGGTAGAGGGCCAGAGGGTGCATTCTATAACCAACCATTACAGGTAGAAAGCCTTTCTAGCTGCTTAAGGCAGCAGATGTATGGTAGCAGATATGTGCCCCCCCTCCTTGCATAGTAGCCATCTGCATTGGAAAATGTATATGTTGTTGTTTATGTTCTTGCAATGTCAATTTCTGTTTATATGTCCAGCTTTAAATTAAAGTTGAATTCACAAGTACTTCTAGTCCTGGGGTGCCAATGTTTGCTCAGTTCATCGGCACCATTGACATCCTGTACTGCACATTTTTGAGTTGGAGTACAACTGTTCCAATGCATAGTGTGCTGGCACATTCTGCCTTTGTAACAGCATTAGAAATGTAATGTTCAGCTGCCATTGAAGCGCATATACACTATATTGCCAAAAGTATTGGGACACCCCTCAAAATCATTGGATGCAAGGTGTTCCAATCATCTCCATGGCCATAGGTGTATAAAATCAAGCACCTAGGCATGCAGACTGCTTCTACAAACATTTGTGAAAGAATGGATCGCTCTCAGGAGCTCAGCGAATTCAAGCGTGGTACCGTGATAGGTTGCCACCTGTGCAATAAGTCCATCCGTAAAATTTCCTTGCTATTAAACATTCCACAGTCAATTATTAGTGGTATTATAACAAAATGGAAACAACTGGGAACAACAGCAACTCAGCCACGAAGTGGTAGGCCATGTAAAATGACAGAGTGGGGGGTCAGCGCATGCTGAAGCGCACACTGTGCAGAAATCACCAACTGGCTGCAGGGTCAATAGCTAAAGGCTTCCAAATTTTGTGTGGCCTTCAGATTAGCACAACAACAGCGTGTAGAAAGCTTCATGGAATGGGTTTCTATTGCCAAGCAGCTGCATCCAAGCCTTACATCACCAAGTGCAATGCAAAGTGTCGGATGCAATGGTGTAAAGCACTCTGTCACTGGACTCTAGAGCAGTGGAGATGTGTTCTCTGGCGTGACGAATCACACTTCTCTGTCTGGCAATCTGATGGATGTGTCTGGGTTTGGTGGTTGCCAGGAGAACGGTACTTGCCTGACTGCATTGTTCAAAGTCTAAAGTTTGGTGGAGGGAGGATTATGGTGTGGGGTTGTTTTTCAGGGGTTGGGCTTGGCCCCTTAGTTCCAGTGAAGGGAACTCTTAAGGCATCAGCATACCAAGACATTTTGGACAATTTCATGCTCCAAACTTTGTGGGAACAGTTTGGGGATGGCCCCTTCGTGTTCCAAAATGACTGCGCACCAGTGCACAAAGCAAAGTCCATAAAGACATGGATGAGCGAGTTTGGGGTGGAGGAACTTGACTGGCCTGCACAGAGTCCTGGCCTCAACCCGATAGAACACCTTTGGGATGAATTAGAGCAGAGACTGTGAGCCAGGCCTTCTCGTCCAACATCAGTACCTGACTTCACAAATGCGCTTCTGGAAGAATGGTCAAACATTCCCATAGACACACTCCTAAACCTTGTGGACAGCCTTCTCAGAAGAGTTAAAGCTGTTATAGCGGCAACGGGTGGGCCAACAAGCCTTCTCAGAAGAGTTGAAGCTGTTATAGCTGCAAAGGGTGGGTCAACTATATATTGAACCCTACGGACTAAGACTGGGATGCCATTAAAGTTGAGGTGCCTGTAAAGTCAGGAGTCCCAATACTTTTGGCAATATAGTGTACATTCACAATAAGTTCATACAAGAGTTGTACATGATATGCACTGGAAGAGAAAAAAATGCATTCTTATTTTACTCTGCAAAATGAAGTATTCATTTGTGAGAATTTAGTTCCACAGTAAAGCTCCTTTCATATGGGTGGTCCGGTCAGGTCCACGTCCGTTTTTCTGGCTGACTCAACCAAACCCTCCATTCTCCTCTAGGGGCAGTCAGATTCACCCGTCTACCTCCATTCCGATCTGGCAAAAACAAATGGGAAGGGGATCAACTTCCCTTTATCTGGCTGGATCAGATCGGAGGGCAGTTGGGTGTAAAGGAACAGCAGGTCTTTTTACATCAGGCTACCCATAGAGGGAAGCTGGCTGTGTCTGTGTGCACTCTGCATAAGCATAGCAGACATGGACCTGTCATGAAACAGCTCTACTCAGATCAGCAGGGGATCAGCAGACAGATTCCCTGCTGAGCAAAATCAGTTCAGGTCTGTGTGAAAGGGACCTTATGCACACAAATAAATGCAACTTTGTAATTATTATTAATTTGTGTCTTTTTAAATGTAATCTGTGTAAGTATCTGTACATGAAAGCTGAGAGGAGAAGGAGAAGTAGCACAAGAAGCCAGACAGTTATTCTGCAGTGCAAGGGGCATGTGGATAGGAGGAAAAGAAAGAGTGCTAGAGATATAGTCATAGGGGTTGATTTACTAAGGGCAAATAGACTGTGCACTTTGCAAGTGCAGTTGCTCCAGAGTTTAGTAAATGAGGTAAAGCTTCACAACAAAAAATACGCAATAACATGCAAGGAAACAAAATGCATTTTTGCTTGCATATGATTGGATGATGAAAGTCAGCAGAGCTTCTCCTCATTTCTCTGGAGCGACTACACTTGCAAAACTGCAGAGTCTATTTGCCTTTAGTAAATCAACACCATAGTGTGCTGCTTCTTTTTTACTGTCTAGTCACACAGTACGGTTGGGGAGGGAACCTGTAAGTGAAAGTGAAACTGAAACAGATAAAATAAGGTCTCCTACCCTGGTAGACAGTGCTGTGCAGTGGGGAATGGATTGGCGGAAATACAATCCGTTGTCAGGTAAGGTAACTCTCCTACATGTATTTCATCTGCGTATTTAGCTATCTGTCTGGAGTTCAGCTTTAAGAACTTCTGTAGCCTGGCATCTTATGCTAGAAACAAAAGTATCAGGTAAGGCCAAGTATTATGTGATGTTGTTATTTAGATCACAGGAATACAGCAGCTCAGCCTTAGCAACATGAGAAAAGCTGAACAAGATATGTCTTTGCATGCCTGGTGTCTTCAAATGCCATTTAAAGCGCTTAAAGGTCACGTCATTTCCAGTGTATTATTTTAGTAGTGACATTTTTAGTCCGATTAGCTAGAAGATGATTTCTGATTGGTTGCAAGATGATTTCTGATTGGCTACTTAGGGTCACTCCACTTTTCACATTATAGACATTCTATCCATTGCCCTATTGTATGATTCCAATACTGATATCTGAGCTTACGGAATATAATGCAGTGTGTGACATTGCTGTTTACTCATGATGCGACGTGTCAGCCTGGATAAACTGGATGCTTTCAGGACTATTATTCTGATAATCTTGCTAATGGTTCAAGACATTTCTTCCCACTTCCCATGTATATTTCATTGGAATACATCAATTCCTCTGCTGCATGTATATTTAATATTCAGACATATAATTCATTGGCAGGGATGTCAGCTTTGACTCTTGTAGACATTGAGGCTTGTAAGCAGGGGGAGGGGAGCGGCTCTCAGGCCCAATGATAAATGGATATTTTGTCCTTTTGAGTCTGAAAGGTTTAAAACAGGTTGCTGTTTTGGCATTATTAGGCACGAAGAGAAGTAGGAAGCTTTATACATAGAATATAAAACTTTGCGGATATAAATGCAGTATTGTCTGATGAATTGTTCAGTATCCAATGCAATGAGCAACAATAAAGTATAAAGGGAAATTATTTATAGATATTAATCACAACTGAGTTAATTATAGGCAAATCAGCAATTACCAGCATCAATGAAAAAGACCAACCTGCTTATAGGATTACAATGGACTATAAATAATGCATGGAAATGTATATTACGTTAAAAAACCAACCTCCCTCCCAAAAAAAAATATATACACATAGTTATTATTATTATTATTATTATTATTATTATTATTATTATTAATAATAATATTTGTATCATGTTATACCAGAGGACTATATGGGTAGTAGGATATTATAGAATAATACAATTATTATTATTATACAGGATTTATATAGCTCCAACAGTTTGCTCAGCGCTTTACAAGATAAAGGGAGGCAATACAGCAACAATACAGTTCAATACAAGAGGGTTAGGAGGGCCCTGCTCCTGGGAGCTTACAATCTAATAGGGAGGGGCTGGTGGAACAAAAGGTAATAACTGTGATGTATGAACTGATGGGAAAAATAAAAGATTTGGCTATTAGACGAAGGCAGGATAGGCATCTCTGAAGAAATGAGTTTTCAGGGATCGCCTAAATATCTGCACAGAATTCTTATAATTTTTGCTCCATATATGCTATGCACTGTACTAGCATTACAAATAGGGCACAATCCTAGTGAGTTGATGGAAACACTATACTGCTCTGGGCTGGAGCACCCTTTTGTGAGATTTGGATTGCTCAGTGTTCCTAGGATCTCTGGAAGTATTGTGACGTCACCCTCTCTAATGCATAAGCCGGGGGCAAGGTAAATATATATTATATAAATTTTCTGCACCTTTTTTAATGTAGGGATTTAGCTTGGGTATCAGAGACCTATTGACCTTGCAAGGCAAGACACACTTTCTATTGCTCCCCCAGCAGCTCCATTCAACCACCAGAAGTAAAGTGAATACTCTGGCATTTTCAGGTATGAGAAAGCATGTGATTATCTCACCCTCTTCCATGTGACAGCACTGGTATCTTGTGATTGGCCTAGCACTGTCACATGGGGTCACATAGTGAGACATATCCTTGTGTAAGCTCTGACAATCTAGTTTGGAGCTTACACAGGGCTTTCCTTTCCTGGTCCCTGGTGGTTGAAGGCATGGAGTGTAGGAAGGTGAGTATATGCTGCTGGTGATGAAGGCAAGGAAGTGATTTTTTTAATTTGCCCTGCATGGGGTCATCCACCTAACCAGACCCTCATTGTCTACCAACCCTCTCTATCAATTCCTCCACTGACTTTGGCTTGCACAATGCAAAAAATTCAAAATACTGACCAGCCTTATCTCAAAATATCACCCAAACTGTCTTATTTTTTCTCAACACCTCCTTAACACAGAGCATCACCCATCCTCTTGAACCCACTACACCAGTCTGGCTGGCTATCCTCTACTCTGTCCACCTTTATGCTTAGTACTCATGATAAAAGTATCAGACAAATAATAGTCTGTTTTTTTTTGCATGCTAGTCTCATACTGTATATAACGAAAATTCTCAAAAGACAGAACACAGCTTTAGAAGTGATGTATTGTATTGTAATGTATTCTTTTTCAATGTATTGTACTGTAATGTATTCTTTTGTTTATGAACATGCACTGTCTTGGTCACTAAATATTTTTCATACAAATACTATATTAATTACGCAAAAATTGTTCATTCTAGTATCTAGTATCTAGTATAAAAGAAAAATGTTTGTGCTAGTCCCTTCAGATATTTTCACATAAACTGACCAGCTCTCAAAAGCTAGGTACTAGCGATCAGGTTATCAGATGATCGCTGAGAAGTTTTCTTTTCCTCTGCATTTCTCATCGTGTGTACTAGGCATTAGGCAATCCTTGAAAATGCATCTCTTAAGGGAAGTATATTGGGCCTCCTCCTAAAAACTCAACTTTTACTTTCTCCATCAACTCATCCCCCTCACAGTTATTATCTTTTTATCATTTGCCCCTCTTTTATATTTATGCTTGCACAAGCGGGGCCCTATGAAAACACCTGTTGTTTTGTAAAAGTACCGTCTCTCTTAGTTTTATAAAGTGCTGTAATAATAATAAAAATCAACTTTTTTCAAAAATTTGCCCTGCTTGTGACAATGAAAGATTTTACTTTGCAGTTAAAAAAAAAAAAACATAAAAGAGAAAAAAGATGTAAATCGCTTTTAATAATATCAAACATTGCACAGTAAAAATCCACTTACAGCTTA